TATTGTTTGATGTTAAATTGAATCAGAGGAGGCTTTTTAAACGAAGAAAATAACCCTATATAAACGCAGATGTGTATGTTGTATGTGTTCTTGTCAGCTTTCATTTTCTTCTTTTGGTAGTGAGTGCCTCCTTTAATTTCCTTTTGTATCTAGCAATTCTTTATATTTTGTTTTTCCATGACAGATATTTCGTTAGTGTTGCTTTCAGATTTTCCCTGCATATGAGTGGAGAAGTGTATATAAAGCAATTTGAGGAAAAATAGGGGCAACGGAATAAACTATACACCTGAAGCAAACGATGCTACTTTTCTATGAATAGCTATCCTGTTGAAGTTGGCAATAGTTTTAAAAAAAATCATTCATCTGGGAAGTGAAAAGAGGTGACTACTAAAGTTGAAAGAGACCCTGAAATTTGTCATTGTGCAAACCACCCGACTTAGAACCTCAGTTTTTCCTTCAACCTTAATCCTCATCGTTATCATCATTCAGATTGATGTTAGTATCAGACTACTAAAGAGAGGCAGATAGGCTGATCACCAGTAAAATTGACAAACTTCAACACGTAGCCAAAGGATACGACCTTCCTATAGATAAAAGCTTTCAGAAAACTTGAGATATGTCATTAGATGCAGCAGTGAAAAGGAGTCGTCTACAGAATAATTATCTTCACCATAACCATTTTTTTCATTTTTTAATAATCAAATAGGGATTTCTCAATATTTGAAGATAGGGCTCTTCACTATCTTCCTAATCATCTCCAAACAGTAATATAACCCAAAATCTTACTCTACCATAGATGCAAGTCCGGAAATAAACGTTAGGATCGGCTTTATGCAACCAGAAATTGCTTGTAAACTAAGATAAATACTGAACTGATGTTAATAACTTCCGTTTCAAGTCAGAACTTCTGAAGCTCATCATGTGTCAACATGCTAAAAGAACAATGAAATTCTTCGCAGGAAAATCAGTAGCATTTGAATCTAGTTATTATTATTATTATCATTATTACTCTTATTATTATTATTACAGCCATTGTCACATTATGACTTTACTGACCGTTTCTAATGACCTTGTATTGACTCATTAGCCATTATTGTTATTATTATTTGCCCCTTGGGTTCCTAATCGAACATAGGGCTTCAGCAGCACGTCTCTAGTGCGCTCTGTTATCTGAAATCTTTTGAACCTGGCTCCACGACAGCCCAGAAGCTCTCTTTTCTTCCTCACATGATCTCCTCCATATCACCCTCGGACGCCCAACTCGTCGCTTCCCATCTGGGTTCCACTCGACGGCTTGGCCTGAGGTGTGATGTCCCCATTCGGCCTTCTCAGTGTATGCCCAATCCATCTCCACTTCCTTCTGCATATTTTTTGAGCAATAGCTTCTTGGTTGGTTCGTTCCCAGCCACAGTTTCTTGTTGCTTATTCTTATCATTCTGACCATCTGATCTTCAGTAACCAGCCAGCGTAGACAGTTGTTGATGAATATCTGTGGTTTGTTGTAAATCCGTTTCTTAACGCGCCAAGTTTCTGAACCATTTAAAAGTACTGATTCGACGTTGGCGTTGGAAATCCGAATCTTGTTCCACATGCTGAGTGCAGATCTCCACACTGGTTTCAGGCTAATGAACGCCTGTCTTGCTATCTTTCCGATCCTGGCTAGCTTTGACGTCCTCGTCTATGCCACAGCCACCTGCAGTTGAAACAGTGCTTCCTAGATAGGTGAAGGAGGTTACTTCCTATACGTTTCTCCAGTTGATGGTGATTGGAGTTTGTTGCTGTTGTTGGTTGGGTATCTTCATCACCTCTGTCTTCTCTATATTCACTTGAAGTCCCGTCTTCGATGCCCTGCCTCACCTCTTCTATCAACTTGTTAGTTTTCTCCTGTAGATCTTCAAGTTTGTGTGACATTGGACACAAGTCATCGGTGGCGAGATCCAGATCTTCTAGGTTCTTATCCCCGGTCAAGCCAGCGTATCCCTCTCTTCTCGCTCCTCACTGTTTGTTGCATGATCCAGTCCACTACAATCAGGAATATCATGGGGGATAGTAGACAGCCTTGTTTTACTCCTGTCTTTACTTCAAAGGCATGGTTGAGCTTATCATTGTGAGTTAGTTGGCATGTTGCATCTTCATGAAGTTGTTGAATTAGGTTGATAAAGGTCATTAGCCATTGATGCAGATATATACTTTGTTGTAGCTATGATTGCGATGTATAGCTTTAGAAAACTATTCGTTGAAAAGAAAACTTTCTTCGCTGAATCGCCTATTATTAATTTTGTTATTGCTGTTATTATTATTTTTATTGTTATTAGCATATTGTCGGTATCGTTTTTATGTACGATAAGAGGAAATTTAGTTGTTCACAGAGTATTACTGAAATCCCAAAAGACAAAATGAACAGAATCACAGGCTTTTTTCATACTTTCCAAGCACATATATAAATATGTTTCAATTTTTACTGGGAGTTTTCATAATTCGTTTTTGAAGAACTTCCTCCAAATTATTATGATAAACAAATTTTAAAAATATTGAGATATGCTCTGCTAAAATTAACTTGATACACAAACAACAAAATATTAAATTTACGGTTGTGTCTAAAGTCGAATCAGTGATTTGTGAATTACCAATCAAGTTTTATACTTGATGGCAGAAGATTGACATGTTCAGTAGCTCCTAGTGTTATTTGAATATTTGGCTCTTGTAGATCCCTTTGTTAGAGAATGATTTGGATTGTAAAATGGTAGATAGTTCATATTCAACTATGATGCAGAATTTCTTTCACCTTTGACTTTCGTCAAATTTATTGATATACGTATCATGACTAAACTCTGCAAAACTGTGATAGTACGAGGTTGAATTTCCGGCCGACAGCCCAATGATCCTTGGGGAAATTGGTTTCTTATGATTCGCTTCAATACGCATTTAGGTATCTTGGTAACTGTTTGAGTTTTTGAAGTTTATCCTTTTGATATACCTTACTTGGTCGGCATTCACTTTTGTCATATATCACTGGACAAACTGTAACGAGGAAAATGTATTAGCTTGTTTACATTTTCTGTCTTGTATAATATAGTATTATGCATATATATATATATATATATATATATATATATATATATATATATATGCATATATATATATTATATATATATATATATAGTCCTGTGTGTTGACTAGTATCTCACGGTTACTTCACTGGAATCTAGATAGCAAGAAAAGATTGCGACAACTTGTTTTGATTCGTTTAGACGTAACAGGTCCCATTTTATGGCCAAATAACTTGGTTTTATGATTGCTTGGATTATAATGTACTCTTATGCGTTCTGTTTGCTAAAGTTCTACAACATGGGAAGAGAAATAAGAATGAACAAGCATGGATGAGGCACCAGCGAGTTATTCGACTATCAATCAAAGGATGAGTATACGGAGCTGTAATCCTATGTCTTGTCATAAGGCTGTAAGACATGTCTGTTAAAAGTAGAAAACATGAAGCAGTTACTGGGCTGTGACCATACGTGTTTACGTAGCATTGCCTGCATTTGGTGGAATTGGCCTATGAGCAATGTTGAGGTCAGGCGAAGAGTACTAGGAAAGACAGGCAAGTCAGTTAATGAGGTTGTGGACCTTAGTCAACTGAGTTGGCTCGAACATCTACTATCCATGCCGAGTCACCTCCTACTTTTATGCGCCATGCTAAGGGAGGTTGGAGAAGGGTAAATGGTTTCCAGACCAAGATGTGGCACCCGTCGATGAAGGTCCTGTCTGTTGGTCTGAGCCTGTGTGTAGGGAGAGATAAACTACCTGGGTGAGGTCTGAAAGACAATAGGAATCAGTAGTTGATGGCTCTTGGTTACGTGACTGAAAATCGGTAGAAATGGTGCAGATATATTCCTTCTTTGACACCTATTAAAGCTTGGATATTCTCAATGACCTTTATCTTCAAATTGTTTATTCTGTTGCCCACCTATGTCTACTAAGGTATCATATTTTTTCTATTCATCTGTTCTTTGTGTATCACTGTGAAGTGTGTCAACTTGGACCTATGCACTGTGTGCAAGGTTTCTACGTTGGTTCTGTCTATCTGTGTGTCTGAATGTGGTACTCATTCACAGTTTCATTTAGCTCTTAAACCGGTCGATGTAGGGAACTGCCTTCTTAATGGCTGAGTTGGTGGTTCTAAACTTAAGGTGACACGACACAAAAAGATTGTAGTGGTTTAGGCACATCAGCATATTAAATTTATTGATAAATTTACAGTTTACTAATAGTATAATTAGCTTCGAGGTTTATGAAGATTTTATTTATTGATTTGAAGTTGATATTCATCACAGTTGAACAATCATTGGAAACCTGTGAGCACTGGATAGCTGTTTCATACGAGCATAAAACACCCCAGCAATGCTCCACCGATCGGACCCAAAACATTCAGGTTCTCTGGTAAGCATGTTGCCGTTGAACCACTGGGTCGGAATTTACTAGTCCACAGTTTCCTGAAAATCCCGGTTTCAATCCTTAGCGTGTCATGAGTACACCCTGCTAAGGAGTGCCATACTAGGAAGACACAGCTGTCTAGTTCTCTCAGATTTCCAGTGGTTCTCCAACTGATAAAATTCCATAGTGAGTAGCGACCTGTAACTATGTATCTGTCTTTTTTTATAGAACTCTCGGTCCCCTCCTGTTTTTATGATATATATATATATATATATATATATATATATATATATATATAACGCAAGTTGTAAATCACTTGAAATCGTCAACAAAATTCAATACAAGCATATAAGTAAAACTTCAGTAATTCACTCATCTACTCTTGTGACTGTAGAGAATGTTGAATGATGAAAATTGCCACTGTCGTTCTTATTATCCACTTTAAATAAACACATAAATCGGAATTGTTTTGTTGAGTTGTAATGCAATAATTTGTTTATTGTTAATGTTTGCTATTGACTTTTTTGTGTTACATTTTTTTGACTTAATTTTCCTGACTTTATTGCAGTTCGTGAACTACTCAGCAGTGGAATGTGCCCGGATGTGGCTAATGAAGATGGACTAACAGCATTGCATCAGGTAGGTAACATCATATTATTATGATATTAATTATTACCTGTGAATAGAACGTTTTGTCAGTAATCAGTTGATTTCACTATGGTTTCATAAGAAACCATCGAAACGACAGAGTACGGTGTAGTTGTTTTATTTTAGTCGAAGTCTTAGTGTACACTCATACCCCCATACTGGATCGAATCCGTAATCGTCTGGTTTGGTGATAACGATGTCTACAGTCAGCTGCTGGGATGAGATCTGACAGTCATTACTTTCGATTTTGCTAAATGACTCTTCTATCTTCCTATTTCATTGATTAAACATCAATCCTTGTATACTTCTCGATTGATTTGATATGTTGCGGTTTCCTTCGCGAAACCAATTGGTGATAAGCACTGTTGGATGGTTTATAAGACATCATTATTATATCTTGACCTTTGTTAGTTGATTGGTTGGTTTTTCAAGTCAGTGGCTGAGATAAGACTGTACTGGATTAGTTCTGAGTGTTAAATAGTGTAACGAAATGGCAGTACAACTCCTGGCTTACGCACCAGATATTCCAGCATGGATTCCGAGCTGAAATCTTGTGCTGCTTATTCCGACCTCGGCAACCCGGTCTCATTGTAATTTCTTGCACATTAATTTAGGCTCATAGCCTACTATATATACCTGTTTGGAATGAAACTGTATTGGCTATCAACAATATGCCGAATAAGTTGAAAGTCATAATTTGAGCAACTTAACTCCCTATCTCTATCAATCTGAATCCCAGTCGCTTATTCAAACAACATAGTACTATTGCCATTCCGAACATTCATAAATCACCATGCCATATAGTCAGTATTTGGTAAAAAATTTGGTGGAAAGAAAACTGTAGTTTATGATTTGTTCTTTTCAGCGTCCAACATCATTTATATCAGATTTGTTCCAGTAGTTCCTCCCATACACCAGTTTCCCGAATCCACAGAACTACTGGCTCAACGCTGCAACCTAAGATTGACACCTAGAGGTCAGCATACATGCAGTTGAGCACTTATTCGGGTACATGTGGGGCGGAAAGCCTGTGAACTGTAGGTCAAACCGACTCGTTTAAACAGTATAAAAATGAAAGGAAGGCATAATTTTGAGATTCAAGTTCAGAGTTTTCTGTTGTTGACAAATGCCAATATCAAAACGAACGTAGTGCATGACTATTTTGGTGATGAATTATGAAATAGCATATTTTTTTATCAACTTGCGCTTAAGATGTCATGAGATTTAATATTTGTTTGGTTAAACGTACGACAAAAACAATCGATAGGTCACGTCTGAATTCTGTGATAAGGTTTCTTATTATCGAATACCTTTAGAACAAACTACTTCATTCTGAAACTGAAAAATAGGCGTACATCTAATCAAAATGAGGTTTTAGCAATCCCATTAATTTAACTTCATGATTGAAACTATCATATACAAAGGTAAGGGAGCCAGCTATTTTAAACACAACTGCTTATCGAACGGACATACTCTGGAGTCAGGGTGACAGTTAATTTTTAGCTAACACTTATTAAGCTGTTTAAGGGATTTAAACTCAGCTAACTGCAAATACTTGACCAACATTAAAATAGAATAATGGACCAAATTTTCAGCGATGCATTTCAATTTCCCACTAACTACTGATTCATTTCTTCATGAGAAGTCCTATTAGACTGACATGTTCTAACATGACGTTCATCTTCTTACTTTTTCTATCACCAACTAACCGCGACCCCAACACAGACTCCCATTCATTCTTTTCCTGTTCTCAGCGTGCTTGGAGTCAGCTGAAAAGAATTGATCCTTATCTAGAAGCTTGTACGTAGCTACTCATATTTAAATCTTCTGTTCAGTCATTATTTTTTCCCCCTGTGTTCTCCACCATTCATACAGGCTATTTTAGACAACTACATAAGATATATAAGATGATCTGCGATCAGGAGTGGCTCATCTGTCTGGAATTGTTTAAATAAAAATTAAGTGAATTTTTGTCTTACTTTGTAGCTCTGGTAAACTTAGTCTGGCTGACTTATTTTTCTTTCTCATTAGCTGGAAAATATTTGAACGCTTTGAACATTCTCTATCAAAAGAACACTGGAAATTTATTTGGTTAGGTGTGGAATTTTTCCCTCTGATATCAACTATTAGTTTTACTTATAACAGCTGCCAAATCCTATAACCATAGTTTTTCTGTCTGTCGAACTCGTTTGAAAAATCTCTCTAGTTGTGCAGTTTGAGAGTATAAAAAAAATGCAGCAACTCAGTTTTCACTCACTATATGACTAGATAAATGTGTATTACATAAATGGATTATATGATAATCCCAACAAACACTGGATAAAGCATAGGCACTGAAACCGAGCTATTGACTTGCATGATCTGTCGGATCTCATTCAAAGAGTCGTGAGGCACATTCATATGCTAGCCTAAAACTACTATTCCACATACCATGGCTCTAAGTCATGGACTAGCCGCATCTCCACGTCGTAGGGTCAATTCTAAAGTAAACAAGCAGTGAGCGGATTTAAAGTCCTCTAGATGACATGCATAACACATATTCAAGTTATACTTGTTTCAAGATCACCTCATCAAGTGGATGATGATCGCTCTCACATCTAAACACACGTCATCTCACCTCAAAATTAATTATATAGGGTTTCCACTGGATGCGAGTGATGCCTTGGAGACAACTGTAATGGAAAACGCAGAATAGTCGGACATCCTTGGCTGAAACAGATCAGGTTTCATAGGCTCAGAGCAGGACTGTATTATATATTTCCCCTCCTTTATAACAAGATGAACATCACGAAGGCACCACAAGCAGCTCAGATTGGCATATACTGCTCTGGCTTTTAATTTATGGTTAGCAATTTCATTAGTTACACCACTAGCACTCACACAGCTACCCAGGAACACACTTTTCGGCGATTTCCAGCGATTTCCCATCAAGTGTCAGCTCATTATAGGCCACTATTAATCTTTTACTTCATTGGTACGATACACATACCATATCTAAAGATACTGATCACCAACAGATCAAGTATGGTTTCAGTGGCCGGTATGCTGTCTCAGAGTAAAGCACGTCGTTTAGGCACTTGGTATCAAGATGTTTTCACCGAGTAACGGGTGTAAACCACCACTGTGCATGTGGTTCAGGGCTGTCTCCAGAATTTCATCAATGGCAATGGAGGAGTGACGAAATTGAGTGGCCCTGATTAGCTGCAATATTGGTTCGTAACAATGCAAGCAAGCAGCTGAATACCTTCACTTTACGTGAGATGTTCAGTCATGAAAAAAGCTGATGCTAAGACGGTATTAATCAGATGTAAAAATCACCACGACATGCACACAATAAGTAGAATAACCGAGTAGAAATTTTGTTACGTAATGGTTTTATTTTTTGCTGGAATTTCTGATGAATGTTTAGTGGTTGTCATTATCAGTGCTGATTCAAAAACTGTATGTGGGTGGATGCCAAGACAGAAGCAGATGATTTTCTTATGGAACCACCTCACGAGTATTTGATCCAAAGTCTGATACGAAAGGCAGCAGAGCATCGTGAAATAATGCCTATGCTAGGTTATCGGTAACCAGTGTGGTCCACCCACCATCCCTCCGTTCTGGGTGGTGAAACCTATGAGCGTCAGTGTTTAGGATTGGTGCTTTTTCAACTCCTCTTGGTGTACTCTCTGTGAACACTGATGAGGTTGAAAGGCTGAACGTTCGCTTCTACACCCTTAATTTCATGTAAACGCCGCCCTCCACGTGCAGACAGTGATTACGACTCTTCTAGTAAGGGCTTTGAAAGCGAACCATATGAGAGTACGTTGATGGTATGATAGGGGTCATTTTGTGCTGAGTTGCATCAAATTGTTTTGAGGAAGTCATAGACGAAAGCTCATATTTGCAGGACGTACAGTAAAGATTATGACGTCAGCTATTAATAGGCTTCCTTATGTGAAAGTATTCTTATTGACTAGGAGATTATCATAGTAGTACGCTTTCGAAAATCCCTGAGTATATGTCCAGTAGACTATAATCAACAACCATTACTAATGGCAATAATACGACTGCTGTATTACCAAACTCTTTAACTTATTTACGTTTATTTATTTATTTATTTTATTTATTGCTTGAAAAAGATAAGAATGAATTGGTCGCAGGTTGCTACCACATTCCTAACTCAGTCATTGCTGAGTTTCAGATCCAGTCGCTACTTTTGTGCTTGTTACGTAGTCATGCTATGTAAATTAGAAACGAGCAAAATATCTAGATAATAATGCAATTGAAGAAAACGTAGCTTTACTCGAGTTTTGTTTCTCAATTGTTCTGTCACTTTTGAGGAAGATATGTATAATCTAAGATTTCCAGTCGTAATTCAAATTGTGTTTCATAGTCGACTTGAAATTTGAAGGCAAATAATATATATGGAGAACTGACTATCTGATTGAGGAATAAACTTTGAATAAACTTTGACTGAAGTCTGCAGTTAAATTAATTTCTACATTTACACTTTCGCGTCTCAGAAAGGCTTTTCTTTCACTGAGGTACCTAAAAGGTTATACGCATTTTATGTATGCAAATATATCGAATAAATTCAGATATCTTTTGAGTAGTTTGTGCAATGTGAACACAATAACTGGAATCCGTCAATTATTCAGTAAGTTGAATAAGTCAATTAAGGTTCGTCTTCTGTGGATAACTCTTTCCAACTATTATGAATCTTCTTGTGACTGGAGAACATATTACGGAAAAAGAGTCTTTTTTAATCAGTGTTTTTATTGTCAAGGTAGCAGTTACCGACTTTAAGGTTTGTAGGAATTTACTTGTTGATTTCACGTTAATATTCATCATGGACTGATATCAATTGAAGGAGTATTGGAAACTTGGGAGCACTGGACAGCTGTTTCGTTCTAGTATGGGACCCCTCGGCAGTGTGCACCTATAGCCTCGACATGAGACATGGGTTCCGACCCAGTGGCTCAGTGGTAATGTGCTGACCACGGGACCTGAGTGTATTGGGTTTGATCCCTGGTGGGGTCATAAGTGCACACTACCGAGGAGTCCTGTACTAGGGCAAATGATCTGTCCGATGCTGACAGGCTTCCAATGTTTCTCCAATTGACACCAGTCCATGATGAATATCAACCTGAAAGTAATTATCAGTTCGACTATGTGAGATAGCCATGGTTTGGCAAACTTGTATTATTGATACTGGACTATGATTAAAGGTAAAATGGAAATCTGAATTCGAACTCAGAGGTCGTTAATTCTAATCCTACTGTGGCCCAGATCTTCATTTCACCTTCAAGCATCACCCAGTAACAAAGTAACAATCGCCAAAAGTTATTGGGTGATCATCATTACTGATAGACATTATAAGTCAAGGAATAGAGAAAGCCGTATTAGAATGCAACACTTTTCCACTTATACTAAAGTATAAAACTGCAGCATCAAGATGCTTGTGTTTAATGATCCTGCTAAGGAACAGAGTTTTCATGTTTCGTCGGCCTAATGCAGATTATATATAAAAGTGCTGTATGACTGGAACTGGACGTTTTAATATTAGTATGCTTGCGTGTTTCGGGTTAATAACGTTGAATCAACATTACAGTTATTCTGTTTTGATCTAATTGTTTGTATTTCTTTTATTCTCCAGTAAACCTAGTCACCGACATATAAAGCTATTAGTAATTCGCCAAATATGAAAGGGTTAGACGAATGTATTGGTGATGATGTGTAAGTTTTACCACCAATAGATGTACAGGACTTTTATCTGGCATCATGCATAAAGTTTAGGGTTCAGGTATGGTTTAAATACAGTGTCACTTGTATCGTTCCTAAATTACTGATTTCTTGAACGGAAACTTCGTTTTCCTATTGAAAATATGTGAAATATTTACCGATGTGACACGACGTATACAATTTTCTCTTTGAAGCTGATAAGTTGATTTTACCCAAAAATCTGATATCATTTTATCCCATTGCGTTGAAATAGTTGATACTTCAATATGTAAGGTAGTTATAAAGCAAACGTTTACAGAATAGTCCATGTGATTGAACACCCTTATAAACTGTGGATCAAAAAACGAACTTCGTTGGTAATGTTTGCATTCTTAGCAGTTAACAAAGTATGGACTATAGAAGTATGAAATAACTGAATTCGGATATTTGCATGGACCACCACTACCGTACAATAATTTTAAAACATAATGAACAACATTCTAACGTAAAAATATCTTGCAAGTATAATGGCATACCGATTAAAAGATAATGGATTTTATGTTGACATGTCGCCTAAAGTGAATGTGCCATGAAATGAATCTCTCCTTATAGTCCTTGTACTTACTTTACACAATGAAGCTTACTTTTATAAATACTAAGTAAATAGGAGTATGCCGAAATGCCAGTATGTTAAACAATTAAGCCTAAGTGTATTACTGAAAAATAGTAGATTTCGGGGATTCATTTTCTTCATACCACTTTTGATTATCATTATTATTTTTTTCCCTTGGGTTCCTAGTGGAACATAGGGCTTCAGCAGCATCCCTCCATCGCACTCTCTTCTCTTCAGTCTTTTGAACCTGGCACCACGACTGTCCACATGTTTTCATTTCTTCCTCACATGATCGCCTCCATGTCACTCTCAAATGCTCAACTCATCGTTTCCCCTTTGGATTCCACTCGAGGGTCTGGACTGGCACGTGATGTCCCCGATCGGTCTTCTCAGTGTATGTCCAATGCAATCTATCTCCACTTTCTTCTGCATATTTGTTGGGTTGGTTGGCTTGTTGCCAGCTAAATAGAGTTCCTTGTTGCTTATTCTTATTATTCTGGTCGTCTGATCTTCAGTATCGAGTGGGCGTAGGTGGCAGGTGTTGATGAATATGTGTAGTTTGTTGTAAGTGGTTTTCGTGACGTGCCAAGTTTCTGAATCACCACATAGTAGCACTGACTTGACATTGGTGTTGAAAATCCAGATCTTGTTCTTTGTGCTTAGTGGAGTAGATCTCCACACTGATTTCAGATTAAGGAAATCCTGTCTTGCTGTCTTTTCGATCCGGGTTTTGATATCCTTGTCTATGCCGCCTGTAGTTAAAATGATGCTGCCTGTGTAGGTGAAAGAGACTACTTCCTTTTTGTTTCTCCTGTTGATGGTGATTGGTGCTTGTTGTTGTTGTTGTTGGTAGCGTTGGTTGGGTATCTTCATCACCTCTGTCTTCTCTACGTTTACCTGAAGGAGGTCCCATCTTCTCTGCGCTGCCTCTTATATCAACTTGTTAGTTTTCGCCTGCAGATCTTCGAGTTTGTGCGACAAGATATTAGACATAAGTCATCATCGTTGGCAAAATCCAAATCTTCTAGTCTCTTTTCATCGGTCCAGCACATGCCTCTCTTCTCGCTCCTAACGGTTTGCTGCATGATGCAGTCGACCACATTCAGTAAGGTTATGGGAGATAGTAGGCAGCCTTGTCTTACTCGTGTCCCCTGTCTTAGCTTCAAAGTCGTCACTGAGCATACCATTGTGGATTACTTGGGATATGGCGTTTTCATATGGGTGTTGAATGAGGTTGAGGTTGATTTGTGGCACTAAAGGCGTAGTGTTTAAGCAACTACCAAATTACTTGTTGGTCGACGCTGTTGAAGGTCTTTTCAAAGTCGATGAAGTTGAAGTAGAGTTGAGTTGACTGCCATTGTATACTCTGTTCTATGGTGATGCGTGGTGTAGCATTGCAATTTGATCCGCACATGATTTGTTCTTTCTGAAGTCAGCCGGCCAGCCTGTTCCTGTCGTAGTTTTGAATCCAGCGCATCATTTATTCTTCTCAGTAATGTGCGGTATAATATTTTGTTTGGACTGAACACGGATGGAGCATGATTCCTCGCCAGTTCTTGCAAAGACTTAGGTGTCCCTTCTTTGGGAGTTTGACAGGGTATCCCTTCTTCCAATCGGCACGCAGGTACCTTTCTTTCCCTCTCTCCTTTCTTCCAAACCTTCTGCAATAGTGGTATGAGCATGTCCTCTG